CAGATATACCACCTTTTGCTTGAGATTGTCACCGTTTGTCTGCCTGCGAACAAGTTTCTGCCGTGCGACCGCTGAGCTGGCGACTCGTCTACGGACAGCTGACGACAGACCACGTTCGGTTGACTTGTCATCTTGGTCAGAACAACCCTTGAACGAACATATTCAGTCGAAACCTCCAATCCTTACACCCAACAGGTGGTGCTCGGATCCGAATTTGTCCTCCACAATGGAGCTCGCCTGTGAGGACTTTGTTGCCGTCAACGTCCCTCCCAATTTCCAACAACCCGAAGACCTGCATGAGTACTTCTCACTGCGAGCACCGCCAAACACAAGCATCTGGCGGAAACCGTCAGCGTCCGATGACACGAGTGCACCAATGATTCTAAAACGATTACGTCAATCCTTCATTCTGGCGGAAGTAACTGTGTCCGCCGACTTTGCCAGAGAATTTGACCAAGCTGGCATCGTCATTTTCGCTGGCTCGCTTCCTGATCCTTCAACTCGATCACCGGTTATGGCGCGTCGAGTCTCGCGTTACCAAAGACCCGGGAATGAAGCTTTGGCAACGGGGAAATGGGCCAAAGCTGGCCTGGAATTAATAGAAGGGGAGCTCCATGCTGCCTCCGTGGTGGCGATTTCCCCTTGCGGCGCGGATTGGGCTTCTTCAGCACGCTTACCTTCACCACCGACGCCATTTGGCTCCTACTCACTCACTTCGCACTCCCTCCGCATTAAACTCGAGCGTGTCGAGGAGTCCCTCTGGATTTGGTACAAACTACCGGATCATATTGCTCCCTTCGAACAGCCACATCATTGTTACCCTGGCCTTGATCCTCGATACCAACGAGAACGCAATCCGGAAGACGTTGCATCCGGGTGGAGGAAGATGCGCGAGATCATGGGCTTCTTTGGCGGTGGGTTGGAACATCAGAAGGGCACGGTCTGGGTTGGGTGTTATGCGAGCAGACCGATGGAGTTCGAACCCCGGCATAGCTGGGAGACAGTCGATGGTTTGGTTGCGGAGTTTGAGGATTTGGATATCTTATGATCCGCTGCCCTGTATTTCCGACCCGGTTAAATGGACAAACGGACGAAATTGAGATTGCGGCTTTGCACACGAGTGCAACCAATCCTATCACCAGGAGGTTATGAACCGGCCTAAAGCTGCAAAGCCAACTTTTCGGATCTTGGCGTTGCAACGGTTCAGGTCTGATTGGTGCATTTTCGACAGGAGATGAGATGAGGGTACACGAGACAGAATCACCATGATTGCATGAGCAGCAGACAGGTGCGCTAATTACGGAAGACAAGGACGGAGGAACACGATTTGTGAGTTTCCTTGACCCCGGGTCAACCGACGATAACCGAACGACTTAAGGGCCAGGAATAGCAGAGGAGTGGGCTGGGTATGGGACAGGAGACATTTCACAATGCCAACGCTGAGACTTCGGTGATTGCACTGGGAGTTTCTGATATGCTGCAGAGGTCAGGAGATGGATGACGAGGCGGAAGGGTATGATTTCGGGAGATTGAAGTATGCTGTCGAACGACACGCATATTATCTGATGGTGATTATTGCAGATCTAGTTCTCTGTTTTCTTGCACATTCGGCACGGCAGCGGTAAAGGCTGAACGGACTGGGCAACCAGAAAAAGGCCATCTTTGTCTAAAGAGGCCCAGTATAAGGGATGGGGGAGATGCAGATAGACGGGTGGGCTGGAAGATGAGATGCCAGATCCACCTGGCCAGAAGCAACAGCATGGCCGGATCTAGACGGTGTGCGCGTGTGGTACGAGTGTATGTATTCTACGCATCGTAATATACATCAGATCTCTAAGACCAGATATGACTCCCCTATATATCCAGCCCATTCTCTGGGAAGCAAAAGGCTCGCAATTGTGGCTTGCACAGCGACACGAGACTTTCACGACTGAAGGTAGAAGACGGTATTTGAGGAGCAGGAAGACAGGGGGGGTAAAGTCAAAAAGTCACATCCATCCGTCTTTCTATCCCACTCGAGGCCCAACGGTCTTGCCATCTACGGCACGAGAAAAGGATTCGGAACCCTGCAAAGTGCCTGCGTGGCGATCAGAATCCGGGTTGGAGGTCGTGGTGGCAGAAACCCAGTCTATGCGTTTTATGTAGCCAGAATCAGAAGGCTGTGTTGCACAACAGGGAGAAAAGGGTCTCCATGCGAAGCGCAAAGGGGGGAGGGGCGGACAGAGATAGATTGGAACAGGCGAGGATGGGACAAAACGACCCGAACTCGGTTGGATTGTTGGCCTGGTGAGCCTCCGCGACAGGTGGTTTGTTGCTCATGAACAAACAACCGTGAATGACCCTCTGCCGTCTGTTCTCGTACAACATTTCCATCACAGGTTGCCCATTTCTGAAAGGATCAGAACATCAGCGACACTCTTATATCCGTCCTTGCATAGAGGCTTGTCGTGATGATGTATGATCCTTGCTCAAGAAACGATGCACATCGTGTGCATTTCATGTTCCGTGAGCCTGTCGAGGAATAACCGCGCTTGTCCTCCTTCAAGCGCTGGGCAGAGAAATGCAACCCGACCTGACTTTATTGTTCTACACAATCTCGCCTAACTGAAGCAGATATAGCTATCCAGCATCAAAGTGCCTAGCGGAATCTGACTCCCGTCCGCCTCTTAGCTGATGGGCTTTGATGCACATCCTTTGTCATTGGAGGCTTGGGTTAGATAGTGCGCTCGCATATTTCAGAACATCGATGCTTTCGTCCACTGAAGAGATTCGTTTGTATATCTGAAGACTCCAGCTTCTGACCGGCGCGGAGGAGTCAGATGTGCACTGATAGAACTGGCGGCGACCGGTGGGTTTGGGAGGTTGCGTGGGAAATGTCACGTTGATAAGGCCGGTCACAGAACCCGTCTGGAATGCCACTGCCCAATAGCTCAATAAGACTCGACAACACGGCGCCCATTGCCTGCGGGCACGTCGCCTTGATGGATCTCAACCTCCACACCACGTTCTTTTGCCCATGGAATGATGTCCCTGGCCACGTTAGGACAGTGAAGAAGTGTAACTTTGCGTAGTCGACCAGTCTCTCTGATCAGATCCGACACAAATACCCCAATGGCTCCAGCTTGTTCGAAACATAGTTCTTCCAGAGCCGAACAGTTCTTGATATATGCAAAGGCGGCCGGGCTGATAAAGTTGGCATTGACAATGCGAAGGTATTTTAGACTCTGAAACCAAGGCATGCTCATCATGTTGACCACCTGGTGAGCGATATCCTCATTGACGGTCACCGAACATTTTGACAACTTCCCCGGTGACGTCTTCTGGACAGAGGACAAGACGAATAAGGGGAAGTAGTTACAGTTAAGGACTCGAAGTTCCTGGAGCTCGTTCAATGCAGGACAAAATGCATGATCCATATGTTGGGCCAGGAAAATGCACGAGACGAGACTCAATTGCCTAAGCGATGTGGGTAGGCTAACTCTGAGCAAACGAGATTCAAGAATATCAAGACTCCGGAGTTTCGTCATATGACTCAGGTCTAGAGTACCACTCGATGTAGACGTACTTTCGTAGGTGATGCCCTTACAGGACAGAACCTTCAGCTGGGGGAACTGGAGAGATAAACGGTCCTAATAAACAGTCAGCTTCCACTGCTCACAGTCACATTGTGAAGGTTCATCACACACAAAAGCCAAAGAAGTGCAGTTAGTAGAATGGAGCTCCAATTCTCGGAGACTGCTGCTGTTCAGAGACGCTTCCGCAGCGAACCGCCCACGCACATTTTGGAATTTGGCAATCTCTAGAGATCTGCAACTTTGTAGAACAGTGCGGATCCATCCAATAGGGGTCGGTGCGTTGCTGCATTCAACAATAATAACCCTCAGGTCATATTGGGTCATGGGCAACAAACAGGGGTAGAACTTTGCATCTCGCCATTCGAAATACTGGAGCGCTGGAAATTTCTCCCAATGTGACAGAGTCTGGGCAAGGTATTCCGCCGTGGGGCCTGGTAGTCGGGACACTTTGACTGTTTTGAGAGTTTGACACCTTTTAAGGGCAGTGATAAGCGACTTCGGGGTGATTTGCTTTGTGGGGTTAGGAAAGGCCAGGGTGTCGACCAACGGGTGCGAGCTGCTAACGATTTTGTTCCATGACTTGGAGACACGGAGCAAACGTATATTGGACCGGTAGTCGAGAAATGAAAGAATGAGTTCGATGACCTCAAGCGGCAGGACAACAAGGGGATCTTTGGCTTGGGAGAGCACGATTTCGGTCCTCATCTGATCTGCTGTTTCCTTCATTTCTTTGACGAGCAACCCATGGTTCGCATCTGAATCAGGGACTTTCTTCAAGCCATATTCAAGATATCTCATTGCAGCGATTTTGTTGTTCTTGCGGCGTTCGATGACCCCAGCTCGGATATAGCCTCTGGCGTCTGTAGGGTCAAGTCGGATCATAGCTTTTGCGTCTTTCAGAGCCTGATCCAGACGATCTAAGCGTAGATATACCGCGACACGGTGTTCGAGAATTTGGATGAGAGGTATACTCTTGTCGGTGTCGAAGACCCTGAGAGCACCATTTACAGCAGTCAGGGCGACAGTATAGTCACGTCTCCGGGCAGCCTCGAGACAATCCTCAAGCAGGGGTTTAACCCGTTTGGGGGAATGACCCAAAGCCATCTGAGCAGAGGGGACACTCGACATGCACTCTATGGAGCGGGCGAGGAGATGCTTTACCAGTAAGATAGGACTATTCCGTTAAGACGGTTGAGGTGCGAGGATCGACGCGTCAAGATCGCGATCAGGTGGTTGAGTGGTCAGGGTTGTGGCAAGCACGTGATCCTCGGATAAACCATGGGACATCATGGGACCGGCTGCGTCCATGTTTACCACTAGCCTCATTTGGCCTCACTTTTGGCATCATCCGACCAACTTGCGACCCCTCAAGTTCAGAACTCTCCAAGGAGCACCAGGCACCAGGCCCATCTCAGCCCCGTCAGAATGGAGTCCAACAGTCTAGAAAGAGCATCCCAATACCTCAACAACCTCTTACTCGCGCGCGGTCTCCTTTCAAATGGAAAACCCATCGACTTCGCTCGCCCAGATCGCAATCGGTCTGGCACCAACCCGACAATGTCCCGGATCATCAATCTCGTCCACGACTTGGTTCTCCGACGTGATCAAGATGCCGAACAACGAGAGAATCTCGCCACACATATTCGCCAAACCCGCGCCGATGAATCTCAGCGTGTCCTCGATCTTCAAAGGATGCAGGTCAAGAATGCCGAACTGTCGCGAGCTGCTGCCGCGGCCGAGTCGCAGGAGCGAGCACTAAAGACAAGTGTGCGTAAACTAGAAATCCAATTAAAGGATCATAAAGAGCAGATGTTGAAGATAAAAGCTACTCTGGATCAAGTGCGGGCCAAATGTCTAAGCGACGTTCGCAAAAGGGATGCCGAGTTGGACAAGCTAAAGGCCTATTTAGTGGGAATGCAGCGTGGCAAGAAAGACTCAAGTGGGATGAAAATAAATACTATAAACTGGGAGCCAGAGGTTAAGGGCAGGGAATTGCGCAACGGCCAGGATGTGAACAGCTCCGAATGGAGTCTAGAAAAGGAGAGCACCGAGTTTCTGACCGCCTTGGTCAATGAGACGAGTACAGAAAATGTAACACTCAGAAAGATCATAACGGATACTATGCAAATTATGCGAGATATGACCGGACTAGAGGATAGGGAAGCGGGCGCGGAAAACGAAGACCAGAAAGACGGGACGCAGATACCAGGCCATTTGCGCGAAACCAAACGAAAAGCAACTCATCAACAACCCCAAATCGAAGATCTCACCTCCTGCGACGACTTAGCTGAGCAAATGACTGCCATTCTAGGACACTGCCAATCTATACTCAAAGATCCATCATTCGTCCCAATCGAAGAAGTTGAAATCCGTGATGAAGAGATCATCAAGCTGAGAGCTGGATGGGAAAAGATGGCAAATCGGTGGAAGGAAGCGGTAACGATGATGGATAACTGGCGCAAACGCATGATTGAAAACGGCGAGGGACTATCAAGGGACGATCTGTCCGGGCTAGAGTTCGGAAAGAGTGTGGCTCTCCTACCGAATGGGCAGCCTGTTTTTGGGATGACCGAGGAACTGTCATCGATACTGTATGAGGGCAGCAAGTTGGAAGAAGAACAACCTGAGCACGAAGAAGTCTTGCCAGAGTCCGAACGAAAAGAAATTCGATATCCAATATTGACTCAAAGCGATGTCGTCGAAAAAGACGAAATCAAGATACAGCGACCAGATCTGGATCTCGTTCTCGACATCTCGTCGCCAGAGGAACGTCCGCCTAAAAGACGTGCTTCCATCGCACGCAGAGCAGGTAATCTAGGCAAGCCAATTCGACCACTGAAGGCGATGGACGTGAACAATGTCGGTCGCTCACCGAGACATGGTTTCGAGGGTTTGTCAATGTCGAGGGAAAGCGCAGATTCAGGCATTGGCAGCTTAGACGGCGAGCCTGACGCGGAGCGTGATGACGAGAACGGATTTGAGCTTGAAGAGAAGACGATGGGCTTGGAATCGCGGATTCCACGGCAGGTAAGATTCACAACATTTGTCTCTGTCAACTTTTGAATGGGTTCAAGTCGTACTAATTCCGATATAGACCAAAGGACAAGAGCCGGCATTAACGATTGATGAAAAACTGGCAGCGGTAGAGGCAGAAGCTCTTGAAAGCCAGCGAGACTCAAGACCAGCTTATGGAGCCAAAGGCGGGAAACGAAAACACGGAGCGAACCCTGCGAAGACTAGAAAGGCATCGAGGCGGAGAAGCACATTGAGTCCGGAGGAGCTGGCTGAGTTGATGGGTATTGAATAACAAGGACTTTGGCATGTCTTCTGATGGCTCAACATCCTTTTGGACGCTGCTTCTTGAGGCTGCCACTTCGACGCTGAAACCAGCGATAGGTCAAGACACATCCCTAGTCCCTTTGAATATAGGTACGTTTTCTACACCTACCTGCATCTGTTCCCCAGCGACTCAGCCTAGTCCAAGGTGGCGGTCCCATATTTCTCGACGGACTCTTTCAAGACAATTGGAGGCCGCTCTTGTCCTTGTGCTCCTCTAACTCGATTACCCACGTTTCACAGCCGACTTTCATTAGCATGCTTCTCGTTTACGAGCACAATCCTATACCGTGCCTTGCCCGCATCCATATCCACAATCGCCCGATTGGCCTCTTTCATGGGGTAATTATTATTCCACGTCCACACCTTCTTCTGCGCAAACAATTCCAGCATCTCCCGGATCTCTTTTGGAGAGCCAATCCCTGAGCCCGTGATTTTGATCTTCCTGGAGAGGAGGGAGAAAGCGTTGAAGGAGGGGATGTTGTCTTCAGGGGCGCCAATTTGGACGAACGTGCCGCCTACACGGAGGAGTTGGAGGTATTGCGCGAAGGGCATCTTGGGGCTCGAAACGGTCGAGACGATGAGATCCAAGGTTCTGCGGTGCGTGCGCGCCCAGTTCTTATCTTCGTCCGTGGCGATGAAGACGTCGGCGCCCATTTTAAATGCATCGGCCTTCTTTGAGGAAGTGCGAGAGATTGCGACGAGTTTGTCCACGTTCAGTGCTTTCGCGCCCATGACGCCAAAGTGACCTAGCCCGCCTAATCCGACAATACCCACGCGTTTCCCTGGGCCGGCACCGTACTGCGTCAAGGGTGAGAAGGCAGTGATTCCGCCGCAGAGCATCGGTGCTGCGACATCGCTGGGTATTGCGTCGGGGATCTTGAAGACAAAGTGAGAGTGCCCGCGCCAATAATCGCTATAGCCGCCGTAGGACTTCGATCCGTCAGGCCATTTCGAATTGTACGTCCCCGTCTGCTTGACTTGACAGTAGTTCTCCATGTCATGAGAGCATTCTTCGCAGTCCGGGCGGAGGCATGAACCGCTTTGAGCACCTACACCCACGCGATCGCCTACTTTGATTCCGTTTTCCACCTTCGAGCCGACGCGCACGGCGGTTCCAACAATTTCGTGGCCTACGCAGACGGGGTAAAGGGTTGGACCCCATCCGCTACGAAGCGTGTGAAGGTCGGACCCGCAGATACCACAGTGGGTGATTTTGATGTCAACGTCGGTTTCTTCAAAGGGCTTTGGAGTGTAGCTCTGCCAGACCATGTTACCTTTTGCCGAGTCCTTGTCGAGGCCCATCCAGCCTTGGAAGGAATAGTCTGCGGCCATGCTCTCGGCGGTTGGTAGGGAAGTTGAGATAAGGTCCTGTAAGGATGAGAAAACAGACGAACAAAGGAGACGGGATTGGTTTTGAATGGAGGACGGAGATGTATTGATAAAGAGAGCATGCCGGGCAGAGGGGCTTTTATATATCAGTTAGGGTATCTCCACCACTCGCACACGGCGTTATCATTCGCAATGCCCGTCAAGCCCGTCTGCAAGATATAGTTCCAAGTTTTTGTCAAAATGGTTATTCCGTCCGGAGCTCGACCGAGGTAAAAGGCCATGTCGACACCCTTCTATTGCCGCATGTATCTGGGTAAGTTCCATCGCTGCAGGCAGACCAAGAATGAACAAGCATATCGACAATGATTTTAGTCGCACCTCGTTTGCCTCCGCTGGATGATGATGACTTATTCTATCATATGTGGTTCGGATTGTTCCGAGGCAATGGCAGGCAGCAGAGTACTGGAACAGTATCATGGATTGAATCGTACTTGGTATATGGTTGAGGGATATAGAACATGAAAATTCCGAAAGTGAAATGATTTGAATCTGGTGAAGACGAGGTCGAGGAAGGCTGTGCAGCATCCGCGGCGTTGTGCGGCCCTGGTGCCTTGGTGGGTGCGAGTGGTCAAAGAGTGGTGCAGTTTTAGCGGTTTGTATAGAGGGGATGACTAAGCCGCCCGTGCATTTTGCGCGTCTCAGCGTCAACACACGCGATCCATCAACTTGTCAGTTGAACATAGTTCCGCCGCTGGCTATCGTTCTCCCACTTCCACCAGAACGAGATGATGATATTCCCGCGGACGCCAACATGAACAGATTCTCTGCGGACTATTCATCCAGCATCAATTCCACGCCGGGCAGAACTCCCGCTACTCGAGGCTCGAATTTTTTCTCCTCCAACCCTCCTCAACTGGCTAGCACCACTCCTGTTGCTCCTCCTCCCTCTCAGATCTTCGGCAGCTCCACCTTTGGTACTGGTATCAGTAAACTCCAGCTCTCCAAGCCTACCAAATCTTCCCCTTTACGCTCATCCCCGAACTCCAATAACCCTCAGCGCTCGAAGAATGGCGATCACCAGATTCCCTCAAGAGCCAGGAAGGGAGACTATCAAAATGAGGAAGCGGACGAGGATCAAGACATGGATGAAGACAATGAGGAGGAGGGACTAAGCCAGTTCCAGGCCCGCCGTGGCTTTCAATCCATCAGCCAACGGCAGCCCGCCTCCCTTATGAAATTCAGTACTATGAGCACAAGAGACTCGAGGGTTTCTGCGCCACCTAAATCTTTCCGCAGTTCGACGAGGCTCTCTGCGCTGCCACACAAGGGAAACGATACAGTGGTGCTCAGTTTGGCTAGAGACATGGGAGCCAGGGCGCAGCCAGCTTCGATTAGCGAACCAGACGAAGTGATTCTCGAGACGGAACAAATCCTCCGCGAACTAGACGAACAATCTCAGTACCTCAAAGACAGCACAAATGTCCTCCAAGTCGTCGCCGAATGTGCCTACAGTCTGATTAAAGAGTGGCAACGGTTTGTCGAGCCCGATCGCCCTTCACTGGATAGCAACGATATAGGCCCTCAACCTACCGCTCCCGCTTTCGCCAAAGCGAACTATCTCGCCTCCCTCCTACTCGTCCTTCGCCATCCCCCACCCTCTCCAGACAACATAGTCATCCCGACACCACGGGTTCTTCTTGATTGGCTTGACAACTACCACGTCTCCTACGACCAAATGTACCGAGCAGTCGTCTCCGCTCGACCCAATTGTACCTCACATGAGCTCTTCTGGGACGCCGTTCAGAGTCTGACCTTGCGGGGCAAACTGCAACAGGTGATGCAACTTTTCGCAGACGCGGACTTCAAATATGCCGCTTCGGCCGTGGACGACGGGGCAGACGGTGTGGGCTATAAAGGTGCTCAGCTCCAGACGGTACAAAGTGTCATCTACCGAGCTCGAATTCTACTCAACTCCTGCCCAGCTATTCAATCAGGCGACTGGAACGTCGCCGGCCCTGACTGGAACGTCTTTCGTAGCGCTGTCGAAGCTGCATTGGACAATCTGACTGACGAAGCAACCGGTCAGGACGAGGACGAGTCTCCTTTCGAAGCTGAGAATTTCGGGTTGCGGAAACCCGAAATGGGTCTCCTTGGGAAGATAGGCCAAAAATCAGGATCTTCTCTTCCCTGGACTATTTTCCAGAACCTCAAAATCCTCTACAGCATCCTTCTAGGCAGTGCCGAAGAGATTGCAGCCCAATCACAAGACTGGCTCGAGGCCGCTACCTCCTTGACCATATGGTGGGATGGCACTGCAGAAACTGGAACAGTTGCACAGTGGAGTTTCGACGTCAGTCGGGCTAACAACCTGACCAAGCAAGACGAAGACTTCAATCCTTACCTCGGTCGGCTGAGAGATGCGTTCCTTAGTGTCACGGATCCAAATGACAAAAATTCATTTCAAATTAATGCAATGTCTCCGGTCGAGGTAGGCCTTGGATGTATCTTGCAAGGGAGTACCCAAGGAGCTTTGACTGTTCTCCGTACGTTGTCCCAATGCATCGCTTCATCCGTGGCAGAAATCGGTGCCAAATCGGGCTGGTTAGAAGATGAGACCCACTCTCGACTTACTGGATTGAATGAAGAAGATCTCATGGTTCTTAGCTATGCCACTCCCAAGCACGGCATCTCCAAGGATGACTTGCTATTGTCGTACGCCGAACAACTCTTCAACAAGGCCATACTGCGTCTTTCTGACGGCTCCCTGGTGGAAGGCTGGGAAGTGTCTATATCCATCGTCACCCGTCTCGACGACCGCGAAGCGATGCACACCGCCGTGAGCAACTTCCTTGAGCAACTCGAAGTCTCTACTCAAGATCGAACCGAGAAGCTCACGAATCTCTGCTCAGATTTAGGTTTACAAGACGAAGCGAGAAAGGTCTCCGATAGATTCGGCGACTACCTCGTGAACAATACCGAGCAGTATGGCACCGCCTTACTGTGTTATGCACGGAGTCACGCAAGCCATAAGATAAGGCAGTTGATAGATGTGTTGGTCAGCTACTCGCTAGTGCAGTCCAGGGCGTACCCCCCTGAGAATGAAATGGACGACGGACTACGGAGTTTGGTGGGAAACCCCAGGACAGCACTGATCGACATTGCAGAAGTCGATCCCGAGGCTGCTGAAATGCTGCAATTCTACCTCGTAGGATACGCGTGTCTGCGGAGATTCTATACTCTGCGCGACGAAGAATCTGGGGATGGAAGGACAACGAATCCTCGGCCTCTCGCGCGGAGGAGAGCAGCGGCGAGAGCACTTGTGGCGGCGATCAATTCTGCTGCAGATTCTATATATGGCGGCTTATACGATCCGCAGAGACAAAGTGCGATCCAAGTTGATGGGCTGTTGACGCTTTTAGGCGAAGCTACTGGACTTCTCTCGCAAGGTGACTGCATCAAGACCGCCTACCCGGCAGGAATAGGGATCGGCACCGAAAAGAAGAGGATATTTACGACTGAACAAATCTATTCTTTACTCGCGGCGATCGAGGACCTCTCTACCGTGTCTGAGCGAGTCTACGCTGCGACGGAGGAGTGCCTGGCCGCTTCTCTTAGAGAGTACCGTGGATCCCGGCCACCGAGTCCGAGGGCGCTGCTGAAGAAGTCAATGAGTAGCGGAAGTGGGAGTGGTTTCTCGTACTCGCTCATGGGGAGCGAGATGCTGGGTAGGAGCATGACCACCGACATGACGAGCGCCAATGGAAGTGAAGTTTTAGTTGGGGGGGCCAAAGGGCAAAATTCCAAGGGAGATGGGAAGGGTACCCAAAAGGAGAAGGGATGGGACTGGAGAGACAAGTTTTCGGGCGAGGGCGTGCGCGGACAGAATATTGTAAGGGCATTACGGATGGTGTTGGCGGAGGAATTGAGTCTTGCCGAGCTTGAAGAAGGCGTTGGGCTTTGAGGTCATGTTACTGCACAAAGACAACAAACAAACAACGAATACTGTGTCGAGTCTGGCGGCGAGGACGGCATGATGTAGTCTGCCTCAAGAGAACCTGTACGAGTATGCGACCGGTCAAGAAAAAGAAAGGCGAGAGGGAAGGATCATGCGCTGACAGGGGGTGTTCATGGAGTTTCCACCAGCGGCTCAACAGGCAATGAACGTGCAGCAGTTCTATTTAATTCTCAACGAAATGTATGAATAGAACAGACCAGGGTTTCGACTTAGACCGTCCATGTATCAAGTGAAAGAGAGGGAGCGCGGCCATCGCGTTCAATTCAGTGTACGGACGATACTCGACGTGTGCGAAACCCCAAGTTCATCGCAATGCATGTTACATAGAAAACAAAGCAATAGCTCCTCGATTGCCCTCCCCCCCCAAACAGAATCCTTTTGCTGTGCGTGGTATGTCGTTGTTGTTGTTGTTGCAACCGTTAACAACCGTCTTCTGCTCACATGTAAAGCTCGTAAGTTAAAAAGAAAAATATGTGGCAAAAGCAGATTTTGTACAAGAAAACATAAAGCCAGAAGTGCGCAACATGAGCTGTGTACGTTCGCCTTCGCCGTGATTTATTTCCATTCCGGTGCCGTGAACCATGCAGTGGGTATCGTCCTTCACGTTCTTTGAGCAGCTACGCCGCCCAGTCAACAATCACCCTAGGGAGAGTAGAGGTGCAATGGTCATGTCATGCTTTATCCCCAAGGTGTGGAGCCTTCCCTTCTCTTTCTGGTCCCATCCTGATCTATTTAGAGTGGCCACCCACTCGTCTCGAACCCAAAGTTCATTGCGAGGAACTCGTCCCCGAATCCAAACGCCATAAGTTCATCACTCGTGAAATCCATAGGAATCATGTCCCCTCCTGGTCCAGGCATCATGTAGGGCATCATGGGAGCCGGTTGATCATAGCCAGTAGACATTTGATTGATGCCAGGTAACATGTTGGACTGAGCAGGATTGTTCATGATGGTATGGGACCATTGCTGTTGTGGTGTCGGTTGAGGTTGAGGCATTACTGGGCCAGGCCGGGGCGCAGGACCCATTGCTGCCTCGGAGAGCATCTGTAGTCCGCTCCGTGGCTGAGCTTGTTGCTGCTGTTGTTGGTGAGGTTGTGCAGCATTCCCGTCAATAGACGGGCGGTGTTGAGAATTCCATCCCAGGTTGGCCGGGTCCTGTTGCAACGGAAGAGCCTTGTACGTGTTTGGTGGCTGTTGTGGCTGCGTCAGATTGTTGCCGGTCCTGGAGTTGACATTACCATTCGCCGGCGTCCGCTGTCTTGAGACTGGTCCACTTCCATTATTTACCGAGTCTATTCTCTTCATGTGCCAGCTCTTAAGCATAGTAAAAATTAGTGTGAACTTGTGAGCCACGCGGGACATCCCTCCTTCACAGGCCTTGCTGAGAGCCTCAATCATTCTGTCGAGATAGTATTCCACTTTCAGATCTTTGTTTTTGAAGATGATGTTGAATTTGGACCCCTTCGCAGACACGGCCGAATACATCTTGATCAACGCAACTGCAGCGTAGGAGTTCCTAACAAAAAAAAGCGTGGGCAGTGCCCGCAGTGCCGTAATGTCCATGTTCAAGAAAGCATCGAACGCGGAATGGGCAGAGTCGACACAAGTAGTGAGGGCTTCTATATGAGCTGGCGTAACGTTGTCCGGGTCCGGGGGCCCATCGATCGGAGTAGAGATATAGGGAGGCCGGAAGTCGTCGATGTTATGGTTGTGGTGCATGGCGATTTCGTGCATATACAGATTTAGAATCCCTTCAGTGTGTTGGATGATGGGCTTCTTGACCATTTCCTTGGTGGCTGAATGTTGCCACTCGACAAGTTGGCGCTCGAATGTCTTTAGGTGGTATTGAGTTTGGGGGTCGGTTAATGACAGCTGAGAAGCCGGATCGTCCATGGAGAACTCAAAGCCGATGTCTTCAGCTATATGTTGTCCACGCACGAGATGGCAGAAATAATTGTCAGAGGGATGAGCATCCGGAGACGAAGTGAGAATGTCAACACACTCGTCAGCGTAGGGGCTCCAACGGATGAGTAAGGGCCGTCGGAGAGACATGGATGAACTGGGGGGAAGGTCAGCTCAGCGCAATTCCAGCTTGGATATGTACTTACTTGGAGCACATGTAATAGCAACCCAACCAGCACCGTCGCACCTCCACGCTGTTGGGATCTGACAAAGGTCTTTTGTTTTCGTGATATGGCCGCCAGATGCTTCCTCCACCTCGTCTCGATCTTTTGCCCATCCCAAGGTCTAGGGCCATGACGGCAGCAATGTGAATCAGCTGGTTAAAGTTCAGCTCTTCGTATTTTTCCGGAGGCTGGTAGAAACATGTCGTGACTTGTATGGTCTGGACAAGCTCCAGCGACTTCTCCCCCCGAAAGATGACTTTGTCGGCCAACACCCTAGTAATTTCCATGATCAGTCCAGGTTGAAGGTCGGGTCGGATGGTACCGGAAGCGACCGCAAGCACGGCAAGGAATAAGATGGGCTTGTGTTTGCGAATTTCATCGGCGTGGGTGCCGGGTGGGAAAACTACTATTGGCAGATGCTCGCACATTTCTGCCATATAACGATCGAAGCATTTCCTTGCCGTGTTTATGTCGATGAGGCCGCGTTCGATGGGATCCACAGTTGTCGGTTCTTCAGGTTTTGTCGTATGTTCCAACACGGGCTGATAGGTATTGGGAGGAGGAGGGGGAGGAGGTATGGACGGCTTGTACGACGGGTTGGAAGATTTATGCAGCTCTCCACCGAAGTAGTCGTAGTCGTTTGCGATCTTCCTCTTTACGCCTTGTTGCGGAGACTGAGCGCTCCCCGGTGGTGGAGGTGGAGGTTGATGCCACTGACCTCCGTATCCCTGCACACGGGCGTCATGAGGCGGAGGGTGTGGCACCGATATGGCCGGGTCAACCGCGAGATCAGGGTCGGCTCCTCCTCTTGCGGCCAGAGTCGCCGTGAGGGCGTCGATTTTCTTTTCCAACTCGGCGACTCGGCTGTCTGTTTTCTTTTGCCTTTTCCGGCTAGGGGCTGTGACGATACATTGTCGGTTGGCTTTTGCACATCTCTTGCAGGACCCCGTAGGATGGCTGTCGTCGGGCTCGCATTTCACCTTGAGTTGTCGACATGCCTCACAGGCGCGTGGTCTCTTTATGTCATTGGGATCGTTGGGATTGCCAGACGGACTTTGGTCGTCAGGGCTCTCCTGCGCGTGCGAATTGGTGGGGTAGTAGTTGGGCGTCTGGATGGATTGGTACGAGTTATTGGGGGAGGGTTGGAGGGAGGGTTGCAGAGGAGAGAAGGCGCCAGGAGGAGCGTTGTGGTAGTGCTGCTGAGTGTCGCGAGGTTTGGGAGGACTGCTCAGGTTGGAGCCTCGGAGGGCTGGATCGATGTGATTGAAGGTGTCGATGCCGGCCATCGAGTTCTTGATAGTACAGAACTAGCCTGTGATTGTTGATCGAGTTCGGGTCGGCGGTGGTTGATGGCGACTCGCCGTCGAGAGGATCCGGAGTGCCGATGGAATCAACTTCCTCTTTATTTCCCAGAGCACCCTGCAGGCACCTGTGTCGCCATCAAGGAGTCTAAGAGGACGAGATGTGAGAAGGCAGCCATTCAGCGATAGATTCGACGTGAGACTTTCTGTTACACGGGTTCGTGGGCTGGGATAAGTTGTGGTCAGGCAGGTCGGCGTTGGGAGTTTGTGGTGACTGAGAGCCGATTCCTGCGCTCGTCAGACATGACGACCTTGGACCGGGGGGGCAGGAGGAGGAGCAGCAAGAGAAGGTGCCAAGGGAGGGAAGGACGAGGAGGAGTCGTGGGCCGAGAGGCGGGTGGTGGTGCTTGGTAGTGGCAGAGGCAATTGAATAGCTTGCCAGTGAATGGCTTTGTCGGGCCGTGGCATTGCACATGCATGCCCTTGCCTACCTATGCATTTCCCACATTAGTATTATGTAAACTCCCTTGCGGTGCTCGTGCTTAGGGTTCCAAGGGCCCCTAGGCCAGAAGGGCTAGTTGAGGTACAGCCAGTCAATCAATCTTCTACAGTAGTAGCTCAACCTCGAGCTTTAATAATAGCAAATCTCACTCTCCGAAATGGTAAATTTGGGGCTCCTTTGCCACAAATATCAACGAGCTCTCTGGCGCCGCTCCGCACAAATCTCACTTGTCATGGCATGTCTTGCCATATTTAAACTACGGAACACTACCTCGTACACCGATGCTCAAAGGATGCTCTTCTGATCCATACGGCGCACTCGGTACGAGGTACACCTTTCACGACTCAGTTTGGCGTCCCCTATGGGCTAGGCTATGACGTGCGATGAAACACCCGCATATTGGAGTCGGGAACGCTCGTTATTGATATAGTCATACTCATCTACTCTATGATTGATATGGGCGTCTTTTGGGTCCCGGCCATGCCAACGGTAAAGATCCATTCAAGACTCGTCCTTTCACCAGTGCCCCTCTATCGCAAGGAAACCAAAAGCTGAATACTTTCACTGTCGTGATGCGCCGTCGAGCGTCTTTTCATTTCCCCATCATTCATTCGTCATTCAAGTCCTCAGAGAACAGAAAGGAAAACTGTGCATGCATGGTTCATGCTATAAGTTTGTGCACCGGGCATTCTGCCTTCCGTCCCAGCCACTCCAAAATGCAACTCCTATGGAACTTACACAGGCACTCCAACCTGACCAACTCGTCGCCAACATCATACTCGACCATACAGATGGAGCACTCTTGGACCTGGCCGTCTTCTTGCGAGACGCAATCTTTTTCGGTGGCTGTGAAGGTGAGCATTTGTAGTCGATGGGGTGGCGCTTGGGAGTACACCGGTGACGTCGGGCCCCCTGTTTCAGCATTTCCAGCTGCTACCGTAGTGCTAGTTTCCGCATGGTAAGTCGGATCACGCGAATGGATGCAATCCATTATATGTGTTTCACGGGCTGTTTCGTCACCGTTTGGTCCGCGAGGGGGTAACGCACGACGACACACTGGGCATATATCGTTTTCGTTCAATCGTGGTCGCGCAGATGGGCTATCGGTAAGTACATGCAAGGGTCGAGGTAGAGGTCGACGCAATTGCGATGTGACGCCAAATAATTCATCGCGCGGGTGTCTGCTTTCGGGATAGCTTGCACGCGGACGGTTATAGGTCAATCGACCGTCATGAGGTGGGTAGTCCTACACTAGTTAGAACGCTTGAGTTAGGAACGGGCGATAGGATACGTACCCTAGAAGAAGGCCCAGGGAACTGATTTGTCCCGGCAGAAATTGGCGATGCTTGCAAACGATATCGGGTAGGAGATGGTTGCCCTCGGGATGAACCAAGCCAACCCAGGGCATCGGATCTGCTTTCTGGATTGCTATAAGGAGCTTCGGTGGGCTGATGCTGTTGGGGAAGGTATGGATTGCCCTGATACACCAAAAGTTAGTGACATACTTGGTTACGATTTGGCAGCAAACTTACCACCCCTACAGGATTCCTTGAATAATCTCCCAACCCCGAAGAGTAACCCCTTGGTCTGGTATCAGACGTCACTGCATGGCTTGAAGTTGTGCTTTGCCGCGCTCCTGCAGCCCACGGAGCTTCACGGGAGGGGAAATTGGAGACACGAGGAGGGTAGTTTGGTAAGGGGTCGGGTTGAGGATCGGGCACACATGGATTGCAGAGCCGCACTTTCTCTCCGCCCTCTAGCTGAGGCTGTGCATCATAGTAATAGGAGCCCAGAGCGTTTTGAAATAGGCTGTCGTCGATATCATCTGCATTGGAATCTAGTGGTTCTGATCGGCGGGTTGCAGGATTAACAGGAGAATCGATCACATCAGGTCCCGGCGGATGGACGATAAACTGCCGGGGGATTGTGATTCGGTGTGGCGAACAGTCATTACAGACCACCCTGCCGCACTTTCGGCAATGATGGCGTCTGAACATCCAAGTAAAGGGCCGGTTGCAGATAGGGCACTTGTCGACCTCTGAATCAGGCTGCCACCTCGGCACCATATATCGTCTTGAACTGCCTGACGAAGACCTTCTCAGTCTGTTGTCTCCAGGTGTTTGTGGTGGTGGTGGCGGCGGCGGCGGCGGAAGAGGAGATGAGCTTGTCAGATCTACAACCTCAACAATGGATCGATTGATATTGGTATCGGATGAAGCATGACGCCGGGGAGTAGGAGGAGAGGACGGTCCGTCCATGCGGGAGGTATTGTGGTTCAGACTCCGATCGTAAAAGCCATTACTGTTTGTTCTTCTCCGGCCTTCTTCGTATATTGAAGAGTTTGTAAGCCTCCTTTTGCGGTCAAGGGCGATGATGCCTCGCCTACGTTCTTCCGTGGTCTGTTCGGCGGAGGGGAGGGGGAGGGGCAGAGGACGGTCCCGCGGAATGGCAGCCAGCATCGGCTCATTGTGGCCCGATCCTGAGCCAGAGCCAGAACGCGAGGCGGAGGGACGAGAGACTGGCAGGTCAGGCAGTGGCCGCTGAGATGTTGAGCCTGTGGTCATCTCAGAGCGTCTGGAATGGTAAGAGTCATGACGCGCATGATGGTGACGGGAAGTCTCCCGGTCAGATTCATCGGAGCTGCTCTGTGAAGTGATAGAGTCTGATGAAGACATGGCCCGTTTTCAGAGTCGAGTGCAACGAGAAAGGTGGTAACGCAGCTTTGTTACCTGGTACCTTGAAACTTCAAGGGAGAGAAGGTGCAAACGGATGCACGTGTCAAAGACAGTGATGACGGTGGCGGAAAACTGACATATCACGGCGGCTGAAACGCGCAGGGGCAGGTGCAAATGGGGATTGCGAAGGAAGATCAGGACGCGTCTCCTCTACAAGTACTGCGCGATAGAGGGCATAATACACGTATCTTAGTAATTGCAAGTGAGGAGACGCTCAGCGCGTCAGAGATATGTAGCCGTAGAGAGATTGTCGTATCAGCAGTACTCAGGATGACAAAAGCACCACAGCACAAGGTATCGTTGCAGAGACATTCTCCTCCTGCAAGAGAGCACGTGTTGTCTCGGAACAAGTACGGAGACGGGGCCTTAGGCTCTAGGCGTTACTTGCACCTAGCGATGGGAGTGTCCAAGTAATAGCCCCCCCTGTGCAGGTGAACACGGATGACGAACCTACCACTGAACAAAGCCGACTCGTGGGGGGAGAAAACAGCCTTAGTTTGGTTAGTGATGTGCATGGCCCTTGATCGCCAGACCCGTAACACCCAGAAATAGACCTCGAAAATCAAGCCCAGTTAAGCAGGAGGACGCCACAGGGAGTCTCGACTCCCCAGGACTGAAACCTACCTTACTGCCCACTGCCCAACATCTCCAAGAGACAGAGGAAGAGAGGGAAAAAAAAACCGTCGTCTTCCGAGCTGCCGCTCCTTCTAATTGGCTCAGCAGAGTCCCTTCTTCGGGTTTCGTCTCCTGCTGCGGCGGTGCCTGCGATTCCCACCACTCCTCCCGTCGGTGCCCATCAACCCTTCTCCACGCTCGCTTCAGGTTTTCCACAGCTGTTAATACAATTTTGTCGTCTCCTTTGCCATTGTAACTCATACCGTCGCCATCCACCTCGTTTATTTCCCTTCGTCCCGGCCATTTCACTCGTTGAGCATTTACCAAGTACATCAGCCCCATTAGCCACGCAGTAATTGGAATCCCTCGCGCAGATCTGAGACACTCTTGGCGAGCAGTTGACGATAGTTTTCAACCTTTCCCTCTGGTCAATCGCCATTGACAACCTTGAGCTTCTACATGTACCTTGTCACTACTTCGCCCTTGCTCCCGTCGTTGGCGCTTGAGTGCTAGACGGAGACACACGACCTGAGTAGCGTCCGCCATTCCGTACGACTTGAACCTCTACTTTTCGAAGTGTGTTCACCGCGCGATCGGGTCAGATGTCGGGCTAAAGGGAGACAGACTTGTCTTGGAAGAGGAGGACAGAAAGGCCCCTTGTGCAGAAATGGCGACTGATCGAGGCGGATATCGAGGTGTGGACTGCGCGTTGACCGTCGACAAAAGACCGCATTGGCATCGACATCGGCATCGTCTATCGTGGAGATGGGATTGGGGACACCCGCTCACCATGACCTTTTTTCTGCTCGTCCTATGCATATCGTCTGTCCACGCCGCCTATGTCGAGTTTCGCAACTGTCTGGACAGCAATATTGTCAATTCTAATCCGCGCATCCTACAATTTGATCCCTTCAATGTATCCGCCGTATTCAACAGCTCTTCGTCCTCCGATCGACATCATCTCAATATCACCGTTTATGGCAATGTCACAGGCAAGGCCACTGAACAACCTTACCCTCCTCCTGATGATCCGTCATGGACCGATCCCAACGACACTTTTGGCAAGATCCCCGATTTGAGCGAGTCCAACAACAAATATACTACCCTCTTTGCCCGTGTAAATTTCCTAGGGT